TAACTGTACTGATATCGTGACAACGTACTCTTGCTATTTTGGTTTGAAGATTACGCGTATGGTGGCGTTCACGGTTGAGACTGCGATTTCAAGCATGTCCAGAAACGCGGAACAGAGCTTTGTACTTCGCTTGGATGCAAGTAAGTAATTTCGAAATTACTCTTTAATCCCTAGTAAGCTTCCAAATTTCTATGTACTAATCCGTGAATTTCGTATTTTGGGTTTTGTTTGGTTATTTGGTTTTCTTATTTTGGATCGAGTCTTGTCGTGGACCGGAAACACTCGGACATGTATATGCATTTATTTGATGTCCGATTTGTCTCCCCTTATGTGTCAACGTCAATTCTTTTGTAAATTACCCACTAAAAGCGTCTGCTATTTACCGCTAATTCAACATAGTTTCAGTAATTTTCTTGAAAAGTTTTAAGCAAGTTTTCCTTTTCAATATAAAAGAATTGATAACTCTTGTTCTATTTTAGTTTTTGACAATTTACCTAGCCAAAAATGTAAATTTCCAGATCCGAATTTTATTGTTAACTCCTCCTTATCTACATTTATAGGATTTTTCATACTACAAAATATTTATTTATAACTAAAAAATAATACTTTTTAATTGTAAAAATCTTATCTGATTATAACATATTATTTAATGATTGGCGTACTTTTTTTTTTTTGAAATTAACGTATACCTTAGTTTACAAATACCTATATTTTTACAATGCAAAAGATCAATACCTTAGTTTAGTATCACGCTATTAAAGATTTATGCTTTTTTCTTTCTGCACAAAAAGTTTATTTTTTAAATCCACCTTTTCGAATTTCATTCTTTTGAATAAAAATGAAGTACAATTATTCTCTGAAAAAATACACATCTTTATATTTTTGTTCAAACCTGATTAGACAATTAATTATTAGTCTCACACTTAGCTGTACAAAATCGATTAATATTCTTTTTCCTTTTCTTAATACCATACAAATAAAAACAGGCTTTTTCAGATCATCCTCTGCATTTGTGAATTTGCTTTTGGCGACCCTAAAAATCATCGCAGATAATTACCCATGCCGACTTGACAAAGCCTTTATCATCGACCCTCCCTCTTATTTCTCTTACCTTTGGAAGGTAAAATTTGTATAAACTTTAACTCATTAAATTCGAATTATTAATTCTCTAATCGTGATTAGATATGGATAAGCTCAAAAGTACGTTTTGTTCGTACCAATTTGTCAGGGTGTTCGTCCTTTTGTGGAGCTCTCAACGGTCACGATGATAGTGTCGTCTCTAGACTACGACGAAAGGCTAGATATCAGCCACGTGTCGTCAAATCCTCGATCAGCATCTTTAAGATTAGACGCATCGTCGATTAAATCAACGGCCACGATTGGTTCAGCTTCTTCAAGATTCGCTTTCACCGTCTCTCAAAACTCCTTGAAGCCGTGGTATCTTTCCTTCACCGACACGTCCCCTTATAACCCCGCCGTCTCCTCATCCACCGCCGCTCAAGTTTCTCCTCTCAGCGCACGGTCGCTATATTTCGCGTCTCCGGCGGCGCGTGGTTTCAAAGAAGCGAAACCAGCTGCATGCAGAAAGAGTTTGTTTCCATCTACGCCGTTGCCGGAGAAGACAAAGACGGTTTCGTACCGGAAAACTCCACGTCCTTCGTTCTTTCAGTCGCCGGCGATGCTCTTTCGCAGGGAGAATAATGTCGGTGGAGGAGGCGAGAAGTCGTTTGTACCGTATCTGAAGTTTTACCGGAGACCGTACGATGAGACTGCGTATAGGTCTAAGCTGCGTGGTACACGTGGATTTGTGTCGGTCGTGTCTTCGCACAGAAGATCTCGCCACGTGTCTTTATCTCAACGGTTCTGATTTAAAAGACGAGATTTGGGGAACGAGTATATAATTAGAAGATAATCAATCAATCACATTGATCTGTTCCAAATACTCTTTTTCTAGACTTGCATGTCTATTACGGTGATATTAGGCTATTTAGCCAATGAGTTTCTTTTGTTTTCTTAAGGAAAAAAAAAAAGATTTATGAAATTCGACCAAATTATAGATATGGAGAGAAAATTTCACTAAGCTACTACATTTTAATAGTTATATAAATAAAAATTCCTAAAATGTTGTAGATAATGTATGTTTGAATAATCTGTACCCTTACGTCGTTAGCTTTACATATACTAATTACCAAAAAATTAAGAGACAGACAAAAGCTATTTAGTAGATACCGACGAAATGATTTATGAGATTAAATTCTGCTCCCAAGGATCATTAACTTCATGAAGAATCTCGACTTGAAAAACCAAAAACTAAAAAAATGCACACGTGCAACGTTTGTATGAATTCGAAGTCAAATGTTAGAATTAAGACAGCGTGGTCGTTACGTTTGAAGAATTTATGGAACACTTTTAATAAGTTCCTCTGCGGAAACTGAACCAATATCCAAACTGAACCAATATAAACGAAAATTAAGTTCAATATAACTCTTTAATATTTTTGCGTAGATGCTAAAATGCCTCATAATTTTTTTGAACCACCAAATTTTTAACTGTTGAGGCACCAGACGATAATATGTAGAATTGAACCACCTGACGGTAATATGCAGAAACTTTGACTCTTTTCAGAGCTAATCAGCTTAAATTCTATTTTCTAGTATAAAAACATGTTTAGCTAATTAGCCCTAAAAATAGTCAAAACTTCTGCATGTTACATGATAAAAGTCTAAAATCTATGTAACATATGAATTTATGAAGTCAATTAAGTAGTAATAAACTTTCTTAATTTCTTCATACGGTTTTATCTAGTTTACAAATTTTTATATATATAAGAATAAAGAGAGAGAGAGCAAAAAATTCATACCAAACAAAAGTTTATTCACTCTTAAAAAAACTCAAACGTTATGGCGAAACCTATCATTCACTTCGTATTTGCTCTTATTGTTTTATCTTGTACGAATATATACACACCATAGCTTTGAATTCGAGATATCATATCGTTTTTTTTTGTGCAACATTACTTAATATTTAAATTTTTGACATGCAGATTTTTTATCGGAATCTGAAGCATTAAGAAGAATACAGCAAGAACCAACACTTTGTCATTGCCCTGGTGACAGAGCACCTGAATGTGATTGTCTTCCACCCATAAATCATCAAGGTCATATTACGTCAACGATTAGTCCTAATGCTGGCAATAAACAGTTAACGGGGTGCGCTACAAAGAATGAATGTATTTAATATGTTAGGTGACATAACAACGGGAAAAATGTGGTAAAATAAATGTATAAATATTTTAAAATATAATAAAATAATAATTATTTTTATTATAACTAGTTTAACTTCTTCAATTATATTTCACTTATTCAATGGAGTGGTGTGTGTTTGAATTATATGCAAAAGAAATTAAAAAAATAAAGGAAAATTAAATAATATGTCTAAATGGGTCATAGTGGAAGTGTGGAACCCAGCCGAATTTGACTAAATATGTTGGTATCGATCGGAATAGTTTATAATTTGAATGGTAATAGTTGAATTTGGCTATATTTTTGAAAACAACTTGATTTTTTTTTTTTGTCAACTAGATTTATATTAAAGATATGATTAATTGTTACAACACATACCAACAAGGGCCTAAACACCACATTAACCACGCCACATCTACATAGAGAGGGCATATACAAAAAGAATATGCTCACAACCTGAACCATAAACACAAAAACTAAACTTCAATAATCAGAGGACGAGATCCTTTCTTCATTAAAAACACCATCGAGCCATGTTGGCTGAGACACATCCACATAAGATTGGAGTCTGCAATCATCAGTGACACTCTTAACAATAAGAAAGACTCCTCTGTTTGAGGAATAGTTTTCCAAAATAATTTTTCAAGACTGAAAAGAGCTGAGAACTTGTCCAAGAACCATAGAATGGTATCTAAAGGACGGCCAAGCAGCCGGTCGAGAAATCACATTCACCAAAACCTCCTCATGCAAGGCAAAAACCACTTTTTCTACCCTGTGAAATCTCATACTTTCCATAGCCCACAACAGCCCTTTGAACTGAGCTTCTTGCTTTACCAAACTTCCTGTCAAAGCACATCTACTATGAAGTAAAACCTTACCAACATGATTCTAAGTTTTGAAAAAGTAACTAAATTAAAAAAAAATTATTAAAATAAAATACTCTTTTCCTAGACTTGCATGTCTATTTTGCGGTGATATTAGGCTATTTAGCCAATAAGTTTCTTCTATATTTTAATAGTTAAATAAATTTAAAATTCAATAAATGTTGTAGATACTGAATGTTTTCTATACACTTACGCATCATTAACTTTACATATACAGATATACTAATTACAAACCAATTAAGAGACAGACGAAAGCTATTTAGTAGATTTTATATTTTATTTACTGACGAAGCGATTTATGAGTTCAAATTCTGCTCCCAAGGATCATTAACTTCATGTAGAAATCTCAACTTTTAAAACCAAAAACTAAAAATGCACACGTGCGACGTTTGTATGAATTCGAACTTTCGAAGTTCACATAGCTAAGTGGTTTATACTTCATATATAGATGAAGTTAAAAATAGTCAAAGTTTCTGCATATGATATAATAATAGTCAAAGTTTTTGCATTTTGTGTCCCACACTTGCATACAAAATTAACATATGAAAGAATAAATAAAATTTATTTTGATTTCATAAATTTATACGTTATATAGATATTGGAGTTCATTGACTTCATAAATTCAAACGTTATAAGAATTAATTAATAATATATGCATATACTTCCTTGACTTCATAAATGCATACGTTATATAAATATTGGACTTTGATCATTTAATATGCGGAACGGTAATATGCAAAAACTTCGACTATTATTATATCATATGCATAAACTTTGATTATCATATACATAAACTTTGACTATTTTTAAGAATAATTAGCTTAGAATTCTCTTCCTCTATTATATATAAAAGCATTTTTAGCTAATTCGTCCTCCAAATAGTCAAAGTTTTTGCATTTTACATTAAAAGTCTGAGAGCACCTCCATTAATCAAG